ACTTCCCATGGGAACGCAAGTTACTTCGTTATCGGATTTTCTCGTCCATTCCAGAGAGTGCGACACTTACTGAATTATCTCTAACATGAAATTTGCGCATCCATTTTTTCGTATTCTCATCGCTCAAGGATAAAGCGAATATTATTTTAAGGTTTATGATCTCAAATTGAGCTGTCAAAGCCTCAACCTGAGACCTTTGAAAAATTTCAATGCAAGAATTTCGGCTTCAAATTAAGACTTTTGAAAATCTTATTTTACACGGACAGAAAAAATTACGTTTAACAAAGATAATCATCTCAATTTTTTTGGCTGATCATTACATTTGATGTGATGGAAGAACGTCTTCGATTTCCCAATTTTAACCATTTTTTATTGAAATCAGGAATGAGCAATAGAGGGAGAAAAGGATATGGAGTGCCTCTCAAGAATATAAAAGAATCGTCAAATTTTTGTAGAGTGTGGGTACCTCACCTTTTCAAGCAAGAAATATCTTTTTTATTACTTCAATGATCGTAAACTTCCGCATTGATTTTTTATTCGTGTAGCGTCACATCATCTTCTCTCACCTGTTGACCGAATGCCAGAGTATCTTTCCAATCCATAGAAAGAGAAACTTCTGATATTTACCTCGTAAAAAAATGTCCAGTGATTCATTGTTTCTTGTTAATTCGTCAAACGAAGAATTTGGCAGTTCTACTGAATTCCGTCTGGCACGAAATCTATGCAATCCACTTTTTTCATATTACTCTAATACGACGGTGATCTGCTTCTTCATAATTTTCCAGGAATATATAAAATCGTGAAATGATGAAGTGTATGAGTTACCTCACGCTTTCAAGCAACAAACATTTTTTTATTATTCCAATGATCATCAACTTCCGGAGTGATTTTTTCTTCTTGTGGTGTAATATCCTCTTCTCTCACCTGCTCACTAGATTCCGAATTATCTTCCTGATCCATAGGAAGAAAAACTTAATTCCTCAAAATGAAGGATTTGATACTTATCGGGTTTCTTGTGGAATAGAATCTGTATTAGTAGCGAAGCGGTGAAACTGTTTAAGTCGACTTAGCTCTCAGCTGAGTTTTCAAGGAATATCTTCGAAACTAAGGCAGATAACGAATTTTTCATGATGATCTGGTTTGCAGCAGACATCGGCATAATCAAAATTTTGAATAACAGCTAAATTTGGAATAAGTATTGCTAATATTACTCACCAATTTTTTGATTTTTGAAATTAACTATCAATTTAAATTTTCATATTCCGAATTATTTTATCAACTAATAATTGAGAAATTAAATTACCAATTATTATATTAATTTTCAAATTTCGATTACGATAAATAAATCTAAATTACTGTAGGGTGCAACTCCTCATAATATTACTAAAAGTAATGATTGATACCGATTAATGCTATGTTTTCCAGAGCGAATTAAAGGCTACAAAAAACGTTGTGACAAAAATTTTGTTATCTCCCTTAGATTCCGAGATATTCATTAAAAACTAATTGTCAAAATCTACTTGAATCTTTTACCGCTTCGCTAGTGATATAATCCATGTCTTTTCAGGGTTTTCATCATCATTGACTCTCACTACGTCATAAACAAACCCCATCAATTTCTAGATTTTCAACATTTTTTCGGTAATGGGAAAAATTATGAATTTCAGAGCGAATGTGAATTAGCTCAAGTATTCAAGCAAGAAATGTCTGCTTTTATTGCTTCAAGGATCGTAAACTCTCGGATTGATTTTTTTATGCGTTGTCATATTATACTCCGACCACTGCTGAGTATATTATACTCTCTCACTGTTGACCAAATTCCTAAATGTCTTCCCAATCCGCAGAAGCAGAAAGAGAAATTTCTGATGTTTAACATCATGAGAAAAACCTGTCCAATCATCAATTATTTCTGATTATTTTATCAAACAAAGAATTTATAATTTTTAATAAATTTTGTCTACAAATAAACTTCTGTAATCCATATCGACTCACAAATTTTCATTACCATTGACTGTCATGACATCACAAACATGTTTTTTATGAAAAAAATTAATGAATCTGTAAGTGAATGTGAATAAACTCAAGTACTAAACCAAGAAATATTTTTTTTATGACCTCAATGATCATAAACTTCCGGATTGATTTTTCTTTATGTGTTGTCACATCATCCTCTTTCACCAATTGAGCGAATACCCGAATATCTTCCCAATCCGAAGGAAGAGAAATTTTTAAGGCTTAACGTAATGAGAAAAACCTGTCAAATCATCAATTATTTCTTGTTAATTCATCAAACAAGAAATTTGATATTTTAACTTAATTTTTTTTAGAAATAAAACTATGCAGTCCATATCTTTTCAAAACTTTCGTCATCACAAACAAACAGCATCAATTTCCTGAGTTTCACTATTTTTTTCTGAGGAAAAATGAATGAATTTGTGAGTGAATATGAATAAATTCAAGTATTTAAGCAAGCAATATCTTTTTTCATTACTTCAATGATCGTAAACTTCCGGATTGATTTTTCTTTATGTGTCGTCACATCATCTTCTCTCACCTGTTGACCGAATACTGGAATCCCTTCCCAATCCGTAGGAAGAGAAATTTTTGATCTTTAAATTCATGAAAAGAACCTGCTAAATCATTCATTGTTCCCCATCAAACGAATATTGACTGGAGCCAAGTTGTTTATTCAGTAATAAAGCGTACGAGAAAGTATCGTGCTAATTGGTTTCACTTACAAATCGAAGAACAAGACTTATCAAACAATTATCTGCATACATAACAAATTTTTTGCTACACGGTGAGATGTGTAATGAAGTCGGAAGGTTGTGGCTTAAAAAAGGAAAGTACCTGTTATTCGGACGAAATGAATGGTGTAATAACCTGGAGCACTTTCTTTTTATACACCCGCTGTATTAAATACTCGGATAAATATGATAAATGAGTGTGTTTAATCACTCTATTTCTCGGTTGCGAATGAAGTCTATCCTATTGCTGTAATTTTTATGATTATTTGATGAATATCAGGATGTGCAACAATGTGGCGTGGCTCGTGAGAATGAAACTAATGAAAAAAACAACAGATTGAGGATGAAAGTAAAATTGTTGGAATAGTCGTAACCCGTAACCCGTAATACTCATCAGCGCGTCTGAGATGAGTTAATTGCTCGTGTATGTATCAAAACGTAAGAATTACATGGGTTTATGTTACGAATGGTTTAATCCAGTAGTAAAGTGGTAAAATAAAACGGTGAATTCTACTTTGAATTCAATTTTGTTAAATTGATCGGCATCGGAAGAGATTTTGGGGAAAACTTTTTCTGCAGGTTTTTAATTGCGTCATTAATAACAGAATAAAAACGTTATTGTTAGAATAGGGGTTCTAAATTGAGTTTCTGATTTCTTTGATTTAACTGATGATTATTGACGGGTTAGAAACGATTGATTGCATTTTTTGTTTTTTGAGCGATGACAAATTTCACTTATTCATCACTTGTGAAATTTTTTTATCTGACATTCCAAATAAAGGAAATTTTATTTATGTCATTAGGCCCGATAAACCGCCGTTCTAATCTCGCTTTGCTCGGTTAGATCGCGGTTTTCGGGCCCAACGACAGAAAATATCATATTTCACACGGCGATAAAAACATTATCCACTGAGAAAAAAATTTATTCCTGCCAAGAAAATGTTATTGGTGATATCTTTTTCATACTCTTAGTAGAAGAAAATATCTCTTTTGGAACGTATTTGCCCAGGCCAGTCATTTCCAGGTGCTCCAAAATCAGTTCCAAGCGTGAGAATTATGGTGATCTATAAGAATATTCTTCTGCACATGACCTCGAAGAAACTCCAATAATAATTATTAACATTTGGAATTATTCCAATTTTCTTTACCTGAGAAAATCACCAATTTGTAAAATCCGGAAGATATCGGAGAACATTTTGTCAAGGTCATATGTAGCATAATAATCAGATTGTTCAACATCACTGTAATTTTTGAGGATAGACTTTGGACTCTCTGAAAATGACTGTCCTGGAAAAATTCGTTCTGAAAAAATGTTATCTTCTGACGAGAATATCATTCCTGGGCAGGAATAATTTTTTCTCTCAGTGTCTGGCGGATGTGGCTTTATAATCCGAGTCGAAGGCGCCTGATGACATAATCTACTATTTTTACGATGTTGGAACCTGTTGACCCTTGTTACCCTTGGGGTCGAAAATATTGTTAACAAGAAAACAACACATTCAATAAAAATATGAGAAAACGTCATATCAAGGGGACTTTGTCCCCGCAATGTAGACACACTTCGCTATTCTATTTGTCATAAATTTATTCATATTTGCCATGTTTGCAGAAATCTATTTCATGACAATTAAAATGAGAGTTACGAAAGGTTCAACAATTCAAGAAGCGAAACGGTAAAACGGTTTAAGTCGACTTAGTTCTTTGCTGCGTTTCCCAGGAATATCTCCGAAACTGAAGAAGATAACGATATTTTCGTAACAACATTTTTTCTAGAGAAAACTGAGGACTACAAAACAGGTTCTGACGAAAATTTCGCTATTTCCCTTGGATTCCGAGATATTCATTGAAAATTGGCCAATAGTCAAAATCGACTTGAACCGTTTGATCGCCTCCAGACGTAGAGCGAAATTGAGTTTATATTTACAATCGGGTTTTTCTCTGTACAAATGTCCAGGTGGTGAGTAGAGGGTAAGTGTGTAGGTGAACTTGTTCTTTAGCTGAATGGAATTGGTTGAGTGAGCAATGTAGAAAGATGATGAGTGCTACTAGCGTCCGATATTAAATGTTGGTTGGGAATTGTGTACGTTTGCGTGAATGAATATGTTGAGCAGAGGCATGGTGGAGACACAGTCACCACACAACAAAAAAATCCTATATTGCAAAATGTGATTTGAATGATGCAATAGAGTTTTTTTAATTTGCTCACATGTAAAAAATTCATCTCAGATTAATTTTTGCTTTCTCATGTTACAGGGGACATCAAGACGAGTTTATTAGCCGGAAGTAAATTTAACGTAACCTGGCACCTGGCGTATCCCCACCGAGTAAGTGAAAAAAATCTCATTAAAATAAATGCGTAAATAACAAATAAATAAATTAACAAAAACATTGAAACGAGAAGTTATTTAAATTCACAAATTTGCTCAACGGGATTTTCCATCAAGTTTGAGTGCATTCCGAGTAATTGCATGCGAATTGAATATAATTCATAGTCAGTCACTGAGCGTTATGAATGAGTAAAATTTAGTGAAGGGCCCGTGGCCTCGTGGTTCACTATAAAAAAAGGCCCCAGCTATATTGCGACTAGTGGCAAAGTTTCAACGGAGATTCCGATGGAGTATACTTGCGATACCAGGCTTGTAAGAACTATTTCAGAGTGGGGATGAGCGGGTACAACTAACTCTCGGGCGCAAAACCGGACGGCCTACACGCGTTTTCTTCTCAAGGTAGTCGCGCTTTGAATTATTCAGAAAAGGAAGGCTTAGGTATTTAGTGATCGTATAATACATCAGCGCGGTTAACCATTGGGCTGGGAGGAATTGTTGGGAGTCAATATACTCTTTGTGCCGAGCTATTCCAACGTTATTTAGTCATGATAAATTCACTCGTGCTAAAGAACAATGCAAATGACGCTCGCCATGACAAATTTCACTTATTCATCACTTGTGAAATTTTGTTATGTGACATTTCAAATAAATGAGTCTTGAAATTTGAAGTGTTCAGGAATTTTCGGATTTTTATTGATGATTCGGAGGAAATTGTGCCGGAAAACAGCTGTTTTTTCAGCAATTTCGTGAGATTGACGCATTTTAGTTTAATAAATCTGTTTATTTCAAACTTTTGCATTTATTTTTTTTATTCATTTATTTCGGTGGGTGCAAAGTACACTTATCCCTCCCGCTTCGCGACTTTGATATGACTTTGCGCCTACGCCGAGTGCTTTGGAGTGGCCTTCGGCGCGGGTGGCATCTCCACACGTGGGCAGGACTTCTTTATTTTACCTCCATAAGTTAGAAATATACTATTTCGTCACTCGTGCAGAAAGTGAAATTGTACGCACACTCCGCGTGTGTACAATTCCAATTTCCACATATTGTGATGAAATAGTACATTATGTCATCAGCCGATAAAAATATTATCTGACGAGTGTGGCTTTATAAGCCGAGTTGAAGGCGAGGATTGTTGTCACATGAGTCGGATAATACTTTTATCGCCGTGTGACACAATATTTTATGTCATTGGGCCCGAAGCAGCCAAGCCAGGTTAGAATTGCAGTTTCTGGATTCTAGTAGTGTCATAAAATAGGGTCCGACACTCGTGAGAAAAGGGTTCTTTAACCTTTGAGAGGGCGCCGAGCGCCGAACGCGTTCGGTAAAGTTACACGGCCATTCGCCATTACACCGCCTTCGAGTGCAAGAAAAAAATTGCCTAACGGGGCGGGAAATTTTATTGTACAAGAGGATAATTTTTGCATCCATCGATGTGTTTTTTTACCGAACGAATCGTAGAATATTTTCCACAAACGGGTATTTTTTCAGTGAATTACATTTCGCTGTACGATTACCTTTCGCACAGTAAAATTTGCCACGATTTTCTAGGTAATTTTTATCCAACTTTTCTCTCCGTGTAAATTCGTTTCCTTCGCATTTACAGAATTATTTCATTTCTAAGTAATAGTCTTCGTTTTGAAGAACTATTGACTTGATATAAATCTAAATGCACATCTTTGATCTGTTTATTTGCAAATCAAAACGTATTTATTTGATCTATTTTTTTATTCAAATGAAGTTTATTCAATTCAAATAAACTATTTTTATAGGTGTAGGAGAATAGAAAATGCCATTGGTCGATTATATCAATATTCAAACCACGAAACTGTCGCATCATGTCATGAAATTATTATTAGAGGTTTCAGATTTTCCGAACCACTTGACTTGAATATTGAGTGCTCCATTGAAAACACTGGTTCCATTCTCAACTGTGAAAATTTCTAACTGGAATTTTCAGCAAAGACACCTCAAAGTTCCAAGTGTCCACGAATTTTCGATGTTTTACAGATTCTATATAATAATTTCTTCGAGAAGACGGGAGTCTTCTTGAAATTTTATGGTATCGCAGTGAAGTTGAGTTAATTAACAGGGAAATATAAGATCTTTCGAATGTTTTGGCATGAATCTCTGGTTTTATAGAAAAATAGGAAGTTGTATTCCTCAAAACTATCAATATTCAATTCTCTTCAATAAATTGTGATATTATCTCGTGAACGTAGAGATAAAACTCATATTTCCTGAACAAATTCACATGAATACATGGAAGGAAATTCTTTAGAAACGGGCGCGGAGGGACAGCCAAGGAAAAATTCCAGTGCTGGTACTGGATTTCATAGGAAAATGAATGAAAACTGTAAATTTTAGGTCAATTATTTCCTGAAAATGGGTAGAAATCTCGAAAATTCCGGTAAACATATTCTTGAATTGTCACTAAATATTCATGAATTCATTGGAAATTCAAATAGATTGAGGGATTCTCATCTCAATGTTGTTTAACAATTTGAAATTTCATTGAATTTTCAGTGAAATCGGAAATTTCATGAATTTCCCCCCCTTAAATCGCATTCAATGTCACTGCTAAAAATGACTAATCCACTGTCCTTGAAATTTCAATTTTTTTCCAACGGTTTTCCCTACATTCAAAACGCCTATAAATTTTAACATTTTCATTGAATCTTCATCCTATATTCTACATGAAAACAAAAGTTTTCCCAAAATCTCATGGTATTCCACTAAAATTGCGTCAATTTACCTGAAAAAAATCAATTACGAATTTGTACTTTTAAAATGATTAATCCGCACTTCGATTCGTAAAATCATCCCATCACGTTCCAAAAATATTGAGCTATCACTTGAAAATTCCCAAAAAATGTGTCAAGAAGATCAAGAAACCTCAGCAAAGTTCCATTTCTTTTTGATGATGAAGAATACAATGAATCCGGTTGACTCACTGAGGCATTCAATCGATCGATGATGACGAAATTCCGTAGTCCATAGAAATCCAGCAACGCACGCTTCGAAATTCCCACCGATATCTCGTATTATGAAATAAATGAAGCTAAATTTTTCATTTAGCGGTGTTATAAACAGGGAGAAGGGGTATGGCAAATGAGGAGGAATTTGGTATGCACGTGTGTCGATGAACGCGGAGGGATATAACGTTGAGGCGTGCTCGATACATTCGAGCTATGCGAGAGAGTCCGTTATGACCTCAAAAATAAACATGACAGCATTTTGAAGCGATTCAGGTGATGCCCAATGAGATTTTCATTCTCATGGTCATTAATTTCGCTCTGCCAATGAGTGTTACCCGATTTTAAAAAAATCGCACAAAGTCATTAATGTCCTTAATGCATGTAATGACCTGAAATACCCGATGAAAACGCGAAAAAAAAATGTAATGACGCGCAGGTGTTATTGGTCTGGCGCGTCAATGCGGAAATCATTGGCGCTGACCTTCATTCGACATTCCATCGAGGCCTCACAGTAGGTTTGTGACTCCCCCCCAGCCCATCCCCGTTACAAAATGGGATATAATTAAACTCAGAGGGAGGGACCGATCGCCCCGTTATATTTCATTTCCCTCGCCCACTGACGCCAATGGAGAGACGATTTTCCTGCGGATTAGATGGGATCAATGACTCTAGAATCTCCCCGTGATTTCACTGACACCAGAACAAATTGAGACATAAGAAACGTGGGCATTCCACCGTCGTCACCTATCCCGGCAATTTTTATCTAATTCAGAGCAATTTGTGGGCTAAAAAGATTGAATAAGATTCCAAGGGTAATTGTGGATTTTAGTGTGCACATAAAACTCGGAATTTTATTCCCATTCGTGATTATTATGATGTAAACTGGAGAAGATAATATAATTCAGGATTGAAGTTGACGGTTTTATTTCTATGAAAATTGAGGAAAATGAAGATGGAAATGTTTTGCTAAATCCACTGGATTAGTTCCCTTTTTTCATAGGTAGGGTGAACTGGTCAATTTCTGGACGGGGGTTAGTTTCTGGACGATTTCAGTTTGCATTGAATATTCTATAAATCAAATGAAAATTGTACCGATTATTTCACCTTTCAATAATATTAGTCGTGTATAATCATGTGACCAATCATTTTTTCTATAGATCGACATTTAATAAATAAAAAAAAAATACGGCCCAGTCGTCCAAAAATTAGGGGTTTCGGCTGCATTCAACTATTTCTTAATTTGGTTATTCTTTGTATTGTTATTTTCAGTTCAAATAATTTTTTTCTGCTAATTAAATCATTCTTGAAGGTGTGGAAGCCATCATATTCCCATTTAGGAGATTCTTCTATTTTAGATAATACCACGAAACTCGAATTTCCCTTAACCGTCCAACAATTGTCCTGTTCACCCTATACACCGAGGGAAAAATTACTTTTGCCGAGGAATCATTTTCTTGGGAGAAGAATTCATTTTTTTAGGAGCGGATTTCTCTAGGCTAGTCATTATCAGGTGGTTCAAGTCCATCTAGAAATAATACAATTGTGGGGAATTATGGGATGATTATGCTGCATATGACCTTCAATTAACTTGATGGACAATTATTAACGTTTAGAATTATTCGAAATTATTTTACGCAAGAAAGCATAATCATCTCATAATTCATCTCATGATTAAACATAATTATAATATTTGGAGATGGACATGGACCACCTGGGAATGGCTGGCCTGGAGAAATAAGATTCTAAAAAAATCAATTCTTCTCCCAAGACAATGATTTTTGAAGTTGAGGAATAATCGACACTAATTTTTTATCTCCGAGGATCAACCTATGGAGACACTTCAAAGAGAAAGAATGATTTTTTTTGAGTGATTTTTCAAATAAAGACACCTTAGAATTCAAAGAGAAGAGGAAAATTTTTAATTTTCATTAAATATTTATGCTAATTAGGGTATTCACGCAAATTATTAATTCCATCAAAATTTAATTGATTTACCTGAGAAAATAATGAATAGACTAGATATTAGCCGAGAATGAATATAAAAATCTTTTGCTGAATCCACAAAGTCAATTCGTGGGTAAATATTCATAAACTGCTTACGGTAAATGTTTTTTATTGCATATGAGTATAACCTGAGGGATAATCGACACTAGCTCCGTTAGTGGAAATACTACGAAGAGAAAGGATAATTTGTTGACTGATATTTGATGTAGAGGCTCCTTAAATTGAAAGTGTCCCTAAATTTTCCGATTTTCATTGAAAATTTAATTCTTCAAAAAAACCGAATTCTCCGCACAATTTTAGAATTTGCAGTAAAATTGGGTTGATTTACCAGAGAAATTAACAAATCGAGTAGGCATTAGACGAGAATGAAGAGAAAAATGTTTTTCCAAGTCCAAAAAATCGTTTCGTAAAAAAATTTTCATAAACTTCTTACGGTGAATATTCTTTATGGCACATGATAATTCAGACTACCTTCTGATCGTAGAGTATCTATCAATATCGACATTTTAGAGAGAAAAAAAGTAAATTTTTTGACTGACATTTGACGTAAGGACTTTAAAATTAAGAGCGTTCTTGAGTTTTCGATTTTTATTGAAAATTCAATTATTCAGGAAATGAACTCGTCACGCAATTATGCGATTTACACTACAATTTTGTTGATTTACCTGAAAAATTAATGAATAAGAGGCTGAAGGCCCTCGGGCAATGGTCATTTGCAAGAATGTATGTTTCTTGCAATAAATAACAAGTTACAAAAGTTAAGTTAATAAATAAGATAGATATTAAAAAAGAATGAAGATAAAAGTGCTTTTATCCCATTTCTCACTCTGCAATTTTACTTTCCACACCTTGCGATGAAAAATTAAGTTTGACACTCGCGAGAAATGTGTTCTGTGACCCTTCGGAGGGTAGCACTCGCCTTCCACGAGCCCTACACACCTTCCGCGCTTGAAAAACCACGTTTACACACTCGCATCGAACTCCACTGCTGCTAAATCAACAAAATCATTTCATAAAAAATCATCATAAACTTCTTACGGTGAATATTTTTTATGGCATATGAATACAACCGGCAGGATAATTGACACTAGCTTTTTATCCCTAACTATCCACCAGTGAGACACCTCAAAGAGCCACTCAACGATGGAACCGCAGCGTTTATTACTAACATTCCTTTGTGCATCATGATGCGCTTGTTTGTGTCTAGTATTTTCCCCCCATGCCAGCCAGATGTTAACGCCAGATTCGCCAATGCTTTCACCCGGGTGCCTATTCAGTTTTTACTGGTGAATTTTTCACCCGTAATTCCTCGACATTCAATTATTTTTACACCAACGACATCTGCCAAGTGTGGAATTTCGTTCTTGAGATATCTCTCGGTAGCCTCTACACTTGGGCTATTATAGCTGGTATGGGGCTACGGATGAGGGAGGGCTCAACTTCCTCACTAGCCAAGATAACTGTCACCTGGGTAAAAGTACACAGGAGCGTTAGGCACGCGCGTATCGTACCAATGGAATCCGGGTGAAAGCCGAATACCAAGTGTAGTTTACTGCCAACGGTTTGGGCTTCTATATTTCGAGGCTCTTCGGATTTTTCTGGAAACTTGTCACACTGTTAGAAATTTTTCGATATTTAAAGGGTAACAGAATGCCCTTAATTTTCCTAATTTTTGAACAAATTTCCTGCCGAAAGTTATCGATATTTTTACTAATCAAAGTAGGAGGCGATGATGAAGATCAATGTGTTTTGGAGGGCAAAAATATTGATAACTTTGTGCCGGAAATTTGTCTAAAAATTTCAGGGAAACGGTGGCCTTCTGTTACCCCTTAAGTAACAGATGCAGTTGAATTCTCAATATTCTGAAATTGAATTCAATTCAGTAGCGAAGTAGTAAAACGGTTTAGGTCGGCTTATCTCCCCGTTGAATTTTGAGTTCTCAATCGACTCTACAAAAAAGGTTATAGCAAAAATTTTGTTATCTTTCTTAGATTCCGAGATATTCACTGAAAACTGGTCAATAGTCGAAATTGGCTTGTACCGTTTTGCCACTTCACTACTGAATTTCAATAAAATTGTTCATGGAATCACGGATTCATTTTGGTAACTCAATAAAATTAAGTTTTTCATGGTGAATGATCATTGAATTTTCAAGGGCAATTTGGATTTTCAAACCTAGCGTGAAAATCAAGCACTACATTCAATTGAATTTTCAATAGATTGAAAATTCAGAAAAGTCGCCTTAATTATCGCAATCTTCAGTAATTTTAATTGTCGTATGACCCTGAGAAAGCAAATTTTATTGAATATTCAAGCAAATTGATGGATTTATGAATAACAAGAGCAATGGAAATTCCATGTAAATTATTCGTTGTTAAAAATTTAAAGATTTTTTACTTGAAATTTAGAGAGTAATTTTCTAACAGTATATGAGACTTTGAATTTATTGTTGATGGCTTTTTCGTGGGTTGCAGGGAGGATTCAGATTGCAGATCCTTGACGCTCTCGATAGGCCACTTATCGACCTCACACCTGTGACACAGCTCAGTGAATTTGTCGAAGAAGATGCAACGTAATCAACACTTTTTTAGTGACTTTTTTCAATGGGGTGAATTGACCAGTGGTCGAATCATTAAGTCTAGAGCTAGTTCTGATCCCTAGATTGGTATCCTTATGGAGGGAAACGCCCAGCGCGTCATTTTTCTTTAAGGATATCCAAGTATCATTTACAGTTTGGTACAGACCACTATAGATTCAACCATTTTCAATCACAAAATTTGTTAATTAAATTGCGTGAGAAGAATTAGAAAAAAATTATGAGTATTCAGTGTCATTTAAATTACATTTTGCACAGAATTATTATTTTTTTAAACATTTGTTGTGTATAATTTTTTTAGGCATGAAATCGATTTTTGGTAAAATTCGGAATCTGAATAAATTTGTTACGATTCCGAACACATGATTTATATAGTGGAAAATTGATTGTTTATAAATTATTTATAGAAAGCGCTTGTAATTTTCAAAAAATGCAACTTTTTATTATTTTATCTATCTTCATCCAAAAGTAAACTTTCTAATTTTTTTTCGAATTTATAGAATGGTTTCTAACGGTTCAATATCGACAGGCTATTTTTTCTCGATATTATCAAAGTACTTGGATATCCTCAATTGCCATTGACTGGCTAATCGGAAAAATTGAAAAACAAGTGGAAAATTGCTTTCGCCACAACGTAGTCAATATACTTTTGCTAATAAACTAGCAATTTGCTTCGGAATGGAATTTCTATGACGATGTATTTTAAATTAAATTCAATGATGCATTGAATTCAACATTTCCCCAATGTTATCTTCATTTTTTCATCTTCCCCTGAATTATGGTTTCAAAATAAATTTTTTCAACAAAAGATGATGCAACCAATGTCATGATCGAACTCGGTAACGATGGCATCGGCAGAATATTTTAAATCACAGTTAAATTCATTTAAGCAATTTTTTCGTTTATCGTTGAAAAATAGTATATTCGAACTCCTGAGACTAAATTTAGTTACCCTGATACAAAAAAAAGGAAATTTCGGAGTTGCTGAATACAATGCTTCCATTCGGAAGCAAAAATTTACTTTGTTAATTGAAGTGTCTCAAAAGTTATAGTAATTTTTAGAACTGAAAAATAGTAATACTGAAAATTTGTAAATTACAAGAGTTTACATAAGTACAGACAGACAGACAGACAGACAGATCTATTAATGAGGAGTCAATTCACCCATCACTCAAAATTCTAATATCACTGTTTATAAACAAAGATATTTTTTAAAAATCTATCAAAATCGTCCCCCTTTGCCTCATATATAAATTAATTTCAGAAAATCCCAGGCATTTAATTAATTCAGTAAAAAAATCTTAATTAAAGCACCGGATTTTTTCAATTTAAGAACGATATCATTCCATTAAAAAAATTACACAAGATTGAAACTCCTCCATCGTCTTCCGAGAAAGTGTTCCTTCAAGTTCCTCAAAGAAATGTACATAATCCGAATTATGTACTTGTCAAACTGTTCCTGAGAATTAGAAATTTTTCCTCCAGTCCTGAATGTTAAAAATTAATTATTCGTTATCATAAAAAGATTTTCCCTCCCAAAGTAAAATGAAGAATAGAATAACTTACATAACATTCATTCTCTCTAATAGGGCACAGAGTTATCCCGTTGAATTACCACAGAATTTCACCTGTACAGATTGTACAGTGAGATTGCTACGCGAGGCAGAGGAGTGGGGATCGAGTTACAGGTTCTGGTCCTGTGCGGATATTGACGTGAGTTACAAAACGCCTGAAAAAAAGTAGTATAAAAAAAAGTTCCAACGGCGCTGGGGATACCGATTAATCATCCCCGTGTGACAAACAGATACTGGAGAGAAAGACATACAGAGAAGATTGCAGCGGTCATGGGAGATATCTTTTGGGTAGATGCAGGTGTGACCGGTTTTATCACGGGGCTAGGTGTGAATTCAGAGAGGATTGCCTAGACGATTCAGACTGCGGTAATCAGGGCACCTGTGTCGACAATGGTGGTACAACAGCCCCAACAAAACACTGTTATTGCAATGTTGGATGGTTTGGTCCGGGATGTAGCAAACGTAAGTCACAACTTCTCACCATTATTTTAGCGCTAATTAGAGTTAATAATGAGAGCGAAGAGCAATTATCAAAAATTTTTCACTTCACTTTCTCGTATTTTTCTGTCATTAAGTGTGAAATTACGAAATTTCATGGTTTCTCTCGAGAAAAAATATCAATTGCGCAGGAAAAAAGGTTTGTTGACTTTTAGCGAAAGATTTAGTTTTTTACGTGCTTTTAAAACTCACATTTCTCCGCTTTTCCTCATAAAACCTTGAAGTCATTCATAATTGAACGGCTTTTCACATTTATTCTTTCAGATAAAGTTTTTCCTGATTTCTCCCTTCGGACATTTGCTCAATTTTATTCAGAACAATTTGAATTTTAATATTTCGCACCATAAACTGAATGAAACACTGGTGGAGACATCAAACGAATGAATTTTTGTTTTCCAAATGTTTCATTATGTTTGCTTGAATGAATTGATGAGGTTGAATGATTGCTCTATACATGCAATTGACGATGAGCCCGAATAAAAGTCCATTGATCCCGAAAAGTTGCACAATTGCATAAAAATCCCACCGATTTTTCCTGACTTCTATTGATTGACACGAAATAATTGAATTGAAAAAAAAAGATAAAAAGTTCCCCGAAGAACCGGACATTTCAATCGAAATTCTTTCACAGCGCATGAGATAATTAAAAACTATAATCAACAGGATCCCCAGTTAAAACAACGGAAATTGATCTCGACGGTTACACGATGAAACGTTTTTCCGATGACTTTGCATTCTACTGGAGAATTCTCAAGGACACGAGTGAATTGGAAGGCGTTATGGTAGTGAACGGCACCTCGTGGGTTGGCGTTGGTTGGAGACCAACGAGTTTGACCCCAGCCTGCCGCGCCTTCCCCGAGATCCACAGTAAGAGTGATAATGCTGAGCCCCTGCCACGTCCCGAGCCAAAGTCCGAACCCACGAGTAGATCCAATGGTGCCAAGGCCAATCAGCCTACAGCCGAACCCGAGCCGGAGGCATCATCCCCCAAGAATGTACGTAAACAAACGGCTAAACTTCGAAATCCATCTGGGGAAGCAGAGAGTGAGCCCGAACCTAGTGCTGAGCCGTCGAGATCAGGGGCTAAACGACGATCGGCAAGACCCCATGATCTCGGGGTTACACCGAGAATTGATACTGACGTGACGGTACAAACGAGTGTTACTTATCGCGTCAGCACAAAACAAGGTGAGTAGAAGTGAAAATAAATAAGGATTTCTACCATGACGGGTGTCTTATTGGTAAGCCAAGGAAATTTCCATTTCCGTTGGCCAAAGGGAAAGCTCTTTCGTTTTACGATCTACCGAGATATACGATAAACAAATTTTCCGATGATTGTCCAAGTGTCTGCATCACCGAAACAACTAGACCGATAATAACTGTATTTTCCAGGGGAAATTCACCCAGATGATAGCCATAAACTTACGATTTTACTACCTCAGAATAATCTCAGAGAATTAATAACATCGTAATGATCAAACTTTTTAACTCTGTCCCTCACTTCAATCTTGGAATGAATTATTGTTAATCTTCTTACAGGCCGTAAGAGAAGGTCCCCCGAGTCAGCGAGTGCCGAGCCAACTGGTGAGTTGAAAAGAATATTAAAAAGTATCTATAATAACGATTTATTTACACTGAATCATCTCACACTGATTTTACTTTACGAGTTTGTCTTCTCCTCATTTACGATATTCGCTCGGTTGAACCAGAAAAATAAATATTCCCCTAGCATCAGACGAGCGTCTACAAACTTGTTAAATTGCTCCTTTGGATGGAATATCGCAATTACTTTTTCTTTTGTTTCAATTATCCCATGCTCATTTTCATTTTGCGCATCTCAATTTGTTTCCACCTTTTTAGATATTCGCACGGAGAACTGAGAATCTTCCATATTATATTATTTTCCTTTCATTTGTATTGTCTCCTCATGTTTAAATATCACTGAGAATTATTTTCACAACTATTTATAGTTTCATCATAGAGAGTAATTGAATATTACAGTTGTATTTAATAACACGTAGGAATGAATAAAATATAAACAGTAGCTACTGATTTTAATTTATGTAGATTATAACACGTAATTATCACACAAACGTAGTGTATTATATAATTGTACGAGATTTAGTTCACTCACCTCACTCATCCACTCACTGTACACATTAAAATTATTCGAATGTGTTTATTATTTTATAAAAGCACATGGTGTTGGTTGAGTATAGTAGCACGGTGTTGTTGCTTTTGTTGCACAGGAGAGCCTACGAGTGAACCAGAGCCTGATAAATTACATCCTGAACCCACATCCGAACCCAGTAGTGAGCCTTCGTCAGAACCAAAATCCGAACCTACTAGTGAACCCATCTCTAAATACCAATCCGAACCCAGTAGTGAACCCCCCGCTGAACCCATATCCAAGCCAAAATCCGAACCTACTAGTGAACCTGCTTCCGAACCAAAGTCTGAGCCTACTAGCGAGCCCTCATCCGAACCCAAATCCGAACCTACTAGTGAACCCACCTCCGAGCCTTCTACTGAACCTGCTTCTGAACCTACTAGTGAACCCTCTCCAGAACCAAAATCTGAGCCTACTAGTGAACCCACTTCCGAGCCAAAATCCGAGCCCGAACCCTCATCTGAACCTAATGGGAAATTAGACGTAATATCACATCCCGAGCCCGCGGCCCCATTGGATACTGCGTCTAGCACCAAATCGGGATCAACCGAAGGTAATGATTTAACTCCAGTAGCGACTTAGCAATCATCACGAAAGTATGTAGTACCTGTACAGTAGAACTACTGGTTTGAGTCATAAAAAAAAGAACAAAATTATCAGTAGCCATTGGTACCCATTCATCTGTTCTCAATGTGTACAGTCACCTTATTATCAGTAGAACGTGGTTTTCTCCTGCGAACGGGAGAAGATATTTGAACAAAGGAAATAACTTAACGCTTTGACATTTTCCATAAAACTAAATAGCTCCAGTGAGACCGGAGATACACAAGTATACTCCGAAGCACGATTTCAACCCGATGGATTGTACAGACATGGTGATTGGTATGGCTAGGGGTAATACCCACAGGATAGGTGACTATTATACTAGAGATCGTTCAACCCCTCGACGTGACGATTTTTGGGGTGGAAAGGAAAGTTTAACAGCCGCAATGGGATTTGAAAAGGACGGGGTAACGACTATCGTATTCAGACGAAAACTCAATACCAATGAGCTCAGTGACCACGAGATTGTGGATGGAGACATGCAAGTTATATGGGCTAAGGGACAGGAGACGGGTAAATATATTCATCAGCCAGCCAGTGGTATTGAAAAGAGCACAGTCAGCGTCAAAGACTTCTACAAAGCTGATGAACTCAAGTATCATGGACACAGGAGTCAGAGAGGCGTTGCAGCCTTCAACTTTTTCGGTAGTTATTGTTTTTCAGATGATTTTTTAGGCTTTATTTGATGCCCTCATTTCTGGCTCCCATGAGCTCCTGGCATTTTTAGCTGTATTACTTTGTCAAAATTCGCTCCACTATCGATTTATAATCTTGTTTAAGGCAGTATATCAGAGTGTGAAAGTTGAATGAACATTGAAATAAATATTTCGTCAAGATATAGTGACGATTGAAGACGCTTCACTTCACCCTACTTTCCCCTGCGCGTATATTATACTGCAATTCTTTTATTACTGCAAAAAAAATAGTACAGTACATAAAGCTAAATGGTCTGCAAAAAATGTTGCACTAGATTTTTTAAAAGGAAATGCGTTGATCTGGATTTGTTAAAATGGGGTTATCGTGTGCTCACAGATGAGAAGAACAAGCAAGAATTTGGGGGACATAATTCACTCCTCGAGAGCGGAAAATGCGGAGGTGAATGGAGACATCCAAGGAACTGTGCGGTTGAAAATGCCACCTGCGATTATTACATTCGTTGGATCTACAGGGCGAAGAAGGTAAACACACTCGACATGGCTTTCTCTTTCCATGATTATTCTCGGGTGAACACCTTCGGGCAAAACTTTCGTTCAAGTTAAATGAAATGGCACGGGTGTTGGGGATTTTTTTTTTAATTCAGAAGTACCACTTCGGGAAGTATAAATGCAAATTTCAGAAGTTGTGGAATTTTTTTTTCTTCTTTCTCACCACTACAGATGTTGAGGTAATTTTAAAAACAATGAAGGAATGAGATGTTTGCTTTGGGGATATATGAAAATGCAGAGAAATGGTCGGTATAAAGTAGCGGAGGTTAATGTAATCTTTTTAACGTGCATAACTGGGTTTTTTTTTTCAGGACGAAATGACTTTCACAATTATCACAAAGGATACGGACAAGTGGACGGGTGTTGGTTTCTCGGAGGACGATAAAATGGTATGAAATGATATTGATTGAGTCTCAATGCCCTCGGGGAGAATAAACATGACCTAATGAATTTCAAACGATCGATTCTATTCAGACTCAAACGGACGCAGTTTTGGGCTGGGTCGATAGGACCAATGGTCGTGCCTTTGTCATGGACACGTGGATAAGTGGCTATAGCTTGCCCCTTTTGGATCAATCACAAGACATCATGAATTCCAGCGGTAAACTCGAGAATGGCATGACAACTCTGACATTCACCCGGAAACGATCAACCAAGGACGCGAATGACCTGTCATTCACCGATGATCATTGTCTGTACATGATGTTCCCTGTGAAGGGTGGTATGTTCAATCCGGTGAACAAAAAAATTAGGAAACATCTTGGCATACCCATTGTCTCGTCCGACAGAATATGCATAAAGTCTTGTGGCATTGAAGGTAAAATCCACAATTTATGTCATCACTTCATTCCATCCTTTGTCTTCGTGCTTCGTTTTAACACCGAGGGGGGATTTATAAACATTTCAGATGAGGAAGATATGCCTTCTACACCATCACCCTCGCGACTTTATTACGATGTTGAGGTAAAATTGGTGAATCTTGGCGCTGGATTTCAACCACCACAGCCGGGTAGTCAAGATTTTGAGGTAATTTCAAACACAATTTCCGACAATTTCGGCCCCACTTTGACAAAATTACCTGGATATTACGCAATTAAACTCAACGAGTTGCAGAGGTAAGTGAATTCGAGTTTTTTTTAACTCACCATTTGTGATTTAAAATGGCTTTGTAGGAGCCTCTTTCTAATTAATGTCATTATCCTTGTGTCAAAGAAATGGTGATGATGGAGTTATTGCAAAGATGAATCTGATATTGGATAAAAATGAGGCAAAGGGAAGAGCCTTGAGGCCGAGCGACACTGTTGCAGTCGCTGAGGGAGCCCTCAAAGAGGCACTCTTGACTGGTAGAGTTGGTTCACTCACGGTTGACCCTCAGTACTTGTTTGTCAGAGCTCCACTATGTACGTATAATTCCACGAAAAAGAAATTTATTTCACTGGCTAAAGTGTAAAATGCAAATCTGTGGTAATTTAATTATCCTGTAGTTAGATTTCTTTTTTTTTCTATTTACCTCTTTCTACTGCTCTTTAGCTAATGACCTGGCCGATGAGTTAGAGGACGACAGCATTAGATCAAACGACTTGTTAATGGGCGCTACAAAGCTATATGTTGTCATTGGTTGTGTTGCTGCACTGGTTGCTGTAGCACTCCTTCAGGCATCCTGCACTGTGTACAAAGCAACGAGGAAACGTACCACAAAGGTAATACATCAATCTCCATCTTCCATTGTGTATTACAATAGTTTGAATAACATTAATCAAAACTTGGAGTTAACTTACATTTTCCTTGAAAGTACTAGTAACACAAATTGTTTCATCTGTTTCCTCTCCTCGAAACGCCGAGAATATTTCTCTATTACTCTCCCTTTTTCATCTTACACGTGATCCATGATAAAAAAAAAAACATTTCTCCCTTTGTCTCATTTTTCCCCCTTTTTATTTTGTCTGTAACTGATGAAAAAAAAACCTCACTGCTTTGCTTGTTGTTGCATGAAACGCGCTCTTTGCGACCTGACGATATAGAGGGTGTACTCGCTGCCTCTGGTATCTTCTCCCATCTCGGCCAATCCAATTCATCGAACATCCGCGACCCGATATCATCGACAAAATGATCATGGCCACCATCATCAGCATCGTCATCATAATGAACATATACCACCCAACATGCATCGGCCTAGTCCACATTGGTAGTAGTCGGGGGAGGGGTTTTTTTAATAACTCGAGCTTTTCCTTCAAGGTACCTTTTGCTTCTGCTTCTCCGTTCATTAACATTCACTCCAAGTTTTGATTTATCAGGTTTCTACCAATTATCGAAAATCATGAATTCAATGATATATGCACACAGCAGAAAAAGTTTATGGTTTTCAGTGACAATTTCATGGAGCAATGTCTTGGATTTTAGAGAAATTTTTCCTTACTCTGAGAGAATTTTCTCTGAGGATCAGACAAAAAACGTTCTAGTTCTTGGTCAGTTTTACTGAAATCCAGTAGCCATTGGACTTAAATAAGGCTCATTTTCCCTTATTTTAAGGTACTCGTGGTCCTGGAATCCAGTACTTTGCGTTCCTAAAATATAAACTTTGGGATGATTAATTTAAAAAGCAAAGCGGTAAAACAGTTCAAGTCGACTTAGCTCAATTTTCGAAGAATAGCTCCGAATCCAAGGGAGATAGCGAAATTTCCATAATAACCTTTTTTGTGACTCTCAATTCGCTCTACAAAAAAGTTCATAACAAAAATTTTGCTATTTGCCTTAGATTCCGAGATATTTACTGAAAACTGACCAATAGTCAAACTCGACTTAAATCGTGCTACCGCTTCTCTACTGAATTAAGGTTCCGTAATTTGTGGCGATTCGCGACGGAGAGGGGAGGGGTTGCCTAGGTTGTGATGCAACCCCGTAATTAACAAAGATAATTTGAGAAGACAAATGTAAATTTAATGACCACGGGGTTCTTGATTTCAGTACCCAACAGTTCTTATTTTACGAACTTTTCTTACTAAAACTAATTTTTAACTTCATTTGGTACTGCATTCCAGAGATTTTCCATTGAAACTGAGTAACGAAGAAACTAGTTCCATGAATTCAGTGCCGTTGTTCTGAAAATTATAACTTTTTTCTCTGTGTAGCTAGCAATCCATTGGATTGAATCACTCAATTAATTTTGGTAATTGAATTCATCAGCAGGAGCGCTTAATAGCTCACAATGCTTGGAGGGATTACTCGACAGGTGCCAATACAAATTTTGCCTTTGAGGCATTTGAAACCGAGGAGAAAGCTCCACCACCGCCAGTATCCAGTCTTCCAAGGCACAGGGACGTTACGGACGGTGTTATACCGAGATCAAGCAATGGAATGAGTACAATGGAGAATCATCACAGATTGAGCAGTCATCAGCAGCTTTCAGCACCAAGAGCAACGTACAGTTTACCACGTGCCCCTGGCCCACGTCAGCCGCCCCCACCACCTCAACCAGGCTATTATACCCAGGATCGTAGAAATCATCGACCCAAGAGTCACCATGGCAATGGTATGTCATCCCAGCAGACGTCTCAACAGCCAGATTTTTATTTCATGCCGAGTCAGAGGAAATACAGTGGTGAAGTGGTACGTGTCTACGTTGATTATGGTAATCAGAAGCCCAAATAAGATTCCCCAATGCGGAAGGAGTTGTCAGACTCTAGGTGAAACGACGCAATACTGCTTTTGTAAATAATTGCGAGTTTTTTTTTATCATTGTTATCTGAGTGACGTTTTCTAGTGATAATTCCTTCGGTATTTAGAGAGAAAAATATGGCGTTAAACGATAAATACACTGTTAGAAATTCTCCTCTGTTGATAATATTTGACCTTTTTTCGTTTGAGTTATAAAATTTTTTCCTCACGAATTTCTAACAGTGCGAGTGGTGCTGAAATGCCCGGAGTGAAGTAGTCACTGGCGAAGTGTCTCATTTTTTTTGTATATAAAAGAAAGAATATAGCGGACGAGACCTCATCAAAAACGCGCGTCACGTGCCCCAGACACGACGTATTGGACTAGGGGGAGAAAAAAAATCCATCTGTTTTCATGTAGACGAGGGAGAATACTTTGAATCATGTGAACAAAAATAAAAATATCAATGGAAAATAACCCTGCGCTCTCGACCAAAGAGACTTATGTATTAATATTTACAGAATGATGATAAGCGCAGGTGACAGTAAATCATATTTTCTCTCGTTATAAAAAACTTGGGCATGTGACTTTAGCGATAATGTTATTGCTCCGACGTCCCAAACCAAGTACCTACATTATACTCTAAGAGATAATTGCAAAGTGCTATTTATGTAAGTTACCCCTAACGTACTATATTATCTGTAGATAAAGAAAGAAAATTGAATGAAATTTTTCATTGCAAGATGGAAATTTCGAGTTGTAACTCGTGTCATTTACTCCACGTGCAATAAAAACGTTTGTACATTCTTTTTTTTTAATTCAAATTGTGTTCATAATTTAAATTTAACCTGGGAACTGTGAGTATGGAATGGCAGGACGACAGATGACTATCTGAAGGTACGAGTCAATATCATTTATTTCGTTTTGCTTCCTTTTTTTATTTAAGTACTTAACTTAAAGGCATATGGGCTCCTGGACTCTTCCACTATTCATCAATAAATCGTTAACGTTAAAACACTCTCTTAACTCTAATTTTAATGCTGTAACATGTTGTTGTTGTTTAATTTTCTTATTTATAGAAGACTGCGTGTAGTAATTTGCCTGTGTGCGCTAGCGCTCCCCATGCTATTTGTGTTTTATCACATAGGCTATACAAGACAAAATGGCAGAAACTTTATTCGGATGCTCTTAACTTTGATATTTCTATTTTTTTTCCTTATCGTGATGAATATTGTGAACCTGATGCTGTCAACTCTACAACTATACACTGATAGAACGGCTTAGTCGAACCAAACGGGACTTTTTAACAATTACCACGATTCGTTAACTATTAACGAATGGCGGTAACAGTCAAGAAGCCTCGTTTGGTGCAACTGAATCGTTCCACCTTTTCTATCAGTGTATCCATTGTTCCTTGTTTATGTATTCTTTTTGCTTTTAAAAAAGAATTGTCACTGAAGTTTTAGATACACAACAATAGTATGTACGTGACACTCGAGGGTTTTTTCTTTCGTTTTTGCTACATTTCTTAGGAATTGGGTCGGCCTAACGAGATACTACAGGCAAGGCCATTGTCGTGACCCTGTCCAATTTTCAGTGTTTCAGTTTCTCATATGTCTCACACACACACTGTATGATTTTCAGCGACACACACTGGCTCAATTAAAGTTATCTCAATGCGATTAAATGGTACATAATAGTTTTTTTTTCTTTGTTCGTTCGGAGGCACATTTTAATCCCCGACCCAAATGGCAACAATAGAAGAAAAAAAAAAAGAGAGAGAGAGAGATAGAGAAAGAAAAAAAATTATACAATTCATGATTTTCGACTCCGCTAACGGATAAAGATTATTTCTAAAATCTATAAAGTGTATATGGCTGTTGATTAATTATCACCAACCATTTTAAATCTCAACGACAGCGACGGCAGTTTGTTTCCAAGCGTCGTCGAATAATTCACACATTAATGGAATTTTGATGGCAATAACAATAATTATAATACTACGGTACCGTGCGCACAATTGATTTCATTTCAATTTTCAGTATCGTCAGTGCGCATAACATTTGTTATATATATTACGTTATTAATTGGCTTTTTAAAAAAATGACACTAAAAGACAACAAAGATAGATGGACTCAACCAATAATGTTAATGCTCTTTCGGTAAATATCGTGTTTATCATCGTAAAATAAAAGCCGAAAGAAAAATAATTCACATGATAGAGGAGTAGTTGACGCTCGGACAAGGCACAACCTTGCTCGATTCGAATGACCTGTCTCCAGCAAATCAATCCTGACATCAGTGCACTCGTCATTCGATAAAGATTTATATCAGTTTAATTCTCATTCCTGCATGGCGAAGAAGAGGACAACGGTGGCGAGTGGTCCTCCTGGCATAAGAATATTCCACTTTTCTGACATTGTAAATTATTGTTATTTTCATCCCTTTTAAAGATCATGAATAATGTATGAGAGTTGCAAGGGCGAGTGCTCTCGTGGGTCCAGTTTCGTTATTTAATTGTTAAGTGTGCCCCACCGCTGCTCTTACTTCGCCTAATTTTGAATTATTAATTACATCCTTGTTGCTCACTTTCTCTGCCTTACGTCCGAGTCCTTGTTGGGCGTCGGTTTGCTGATTACAAAAACAAGCAAAAAAAATCGTAAGATTTTTTTTCCCCCTCAGTGAAAACATCAAAGTGTTAGCAAGGGAGAGTGCCGCGAGATTTTTATGAGCGTTGATGGTAAAAAAAAAATTCACAGTCAAGCTGGAGGGAAACAACACTCACAAGGACGCAGAAAGGTAGAGGAGAGTCAAAGGGCGATGATCCACAGGGATTTGGCGTTGTGATAAATTTACTCCTCATCTATCCTTAATTCCCATAAATAAAGACATAAATCCAGTGTCAGTGCAAGCAACGACCGACCAATTGTTCGTGCGAACAGGAATGCGGTTTTAACCCCCCCTTACCATCCCTGTCAGAAGAACGAGGAATGAGCTGGAGAGGATGCAGGGTGGTTGGAAAATCGTCACTGAAGTGAGGTACGGTGGGATAGATGTGGGGGAGAATTGTGGCATGGTTCTCCCAAGGGATAACGGAATTGTACGGTCTTGTAAGGTGGGCTGTAGAGGGCGGATACTGGTGTCGCTGGTGGTTTAACTGGGTAACTCTGGTAGATGCAGTGCAGGGAATATGCAGTCATCGGATTCTCATGGGAGTAAATCGGGGGGGTTATGGTGTGTTGAGGTATCAAGAGGCAAGGGATTGTGGCGTCATTTTTATTTTCTTTCCTCCTTCTTTTGGAACATAAACTTGACTTAGTGAAGCCCGTGCATCGGAGTAATGCAGGATGGAACGCTCAAGTTCAGGTAATGCTTGGAAAGCACGAGCTAACTTTAGTTGGCACGAGGTATTCCAAAAGGATTCGTTACATTACTACCAGAATCTTGCGATAAACAGTGGTATTTGTTGTGGCATGCAGTCAACAGCAGTAAGAAAAGGGCAGTTGAGAAAAAGCAAATATCATAGGATAAATTTATAACTCACGTGTCAGGGCTTTGGTCAGTATCTGATTCCTCCAACTCTGATTTATTACGTTTTTTCTCGTAGATGAGAATGATTGCACAGAGGACAACGACCTCGGCGCAGATACCGAGGAATGGCCAGAGTGCTGCAAGTCTATCTTTAACTCTTAGCAATGTTGTCGCATTGACGGAAACATGGGGATCTTGGAGTTGATTCCAATCGTATCCTATGAAACACTTTATCTCGCCACGATCTTTCATCTCAATGTTTTCGACAGACAGTGTACCACCGTTAACCTTTCCATTTGGCAACAATTTCACTCGTCCAGTGTCCGTTGTGTAAGTATTGTTAGCAAACCACCATAAGACTTTGAGGCCTGGGCCATGGTGCTCATTGGCGCAAGTCACTGTCAACTTTTCACCCTCTACCACTGTCGTTGATGGCAAGAGAAACGGTGGGAATGGTTTCTCTGTAATTATATAAAAAAAATTACATGGCGATAAAAATGGGAATTTGCATTTGCTCACGTAAAAGGTAAAAGCAGAAAATCAGATTATAATTCGTTAAACTTTGGTGCAAACTTAGTCAACCTTTGAATGCATGTACAAAGAGAAGAAACACAAATGTGAAACAATATATTCTGAAGATAATAGATGAATTTGCATATCTTTCCCATACATAGAAATTAGAACCCATAAATTAAACTTACCAACTACTTTGAAAGTTGTGCTGGAATTAGCATATCCAAGGACATTGCAAACATATGTTCCCGTGGCGTTTACAATTGAAGTGATGCTGAGTGTATCATTGTGTTCATTAACCATAACCGACGGCTCGCTTGTTTTCCTCAATTGCTCAATTATTGGTTTATCCTCGTAGAACCACAAAACTTTTTCATTACCCGTGCGATTTTCACAATCCAAATTCAACGGTAAACTGTCTTTTGTCAGAACTCGATATTTTATTGCTGCAATCACACAAAATGACAAACACAAAAATAATGATTAATACACAATGACATTAACGATAACAACCAATTAATCATGCTATTCCACTGAGCAAGGGACAACAACTGTCGAGATGTTAAATAATGATTAAAGTTATTCTCTCGTTAACTACACAATTTCCAATGCACTGAGAGAAAAATCTGAAGTTCGATTTACGATAAGAAAATAGTTGAGGCATTTTGGTGAACGATACGATTTTTTTTTGTATGCGGCACATAACATTATAGTAACTTCACAAGCGTAATTTTTGCAAAAGAAAATGCAGTTAAACTAACCAAAGTTCAAAAGTAACCACGACAAATCTATCGTGAGTAAATTATAAAATAGTTGCAATGACTACATTCCATTGTAGTAATTACTTCTCCGGCCATAGTTACCGTAACCCATGAAAAATTGTTGAGGACTTTTTGACTATAATTCGATGGTGATGGAATATAGTTAGAAGAATTATATTTTTCTCTCAGTGTAGCAGAGCTATCGTCAAGTACTTCTCTAAAGCTCGTTGTAAACTCGCTAGAAGAAGCAGCAAATTTTGCATCACGAAACTTTTCCAGGGAAAATTAAACGAAAGCAAACGCAACGAGGGGATAAAAGCGTATAGTACGATAGATGCAACACCCCAGTAGAGGCCAGTGTCTCTGTTCTGCACTACTTTTATGTCCACTCCTTTATTTTCATCCCTCCACCCCAATGAAAAAACAAAAAAAAACCAGAGGGCCAGCGTGTGCCGACCTCGGCCACCGTCAGCGATGCAAGCAGGTTACTCCCGGTAATTAAACGCAAACTCCTGGTAAATTACAGGCAGTAATTACCGTGAGCGTTTAGTCGACATGGGCTAGCATTTTTACACCAAGCAGTTATAGATGGAGAGCATGAGAGGCGATATAAAACCAAAAGGGGGAAGAAAAAAAAAGCAAGGGCGAGTCGCGCACTTTGACGTTCGCAATACGTCGCCTCGCATTTGCCTCTTCTCCATCTCTTTTCCCCTCCTCCCCCCCCCTCTTGTTGCCCTTTGTTTTGCCCACTCTCATTCGCCCTTTTTTCACCACTCGTTATCAACGAGATGCACGCGCGCGCACGACCGCTGCACTGAAGAGGGGCTAACTGCAGGTGCAGGGGTTCGTAATGACAAAAACGTTTGCCGTCGGCTTTAACGACCAGCTTTTGCCGTATCCCCCTAACGCTCTTTTACGTTGGGCCACCATCAACGGGTTCACTCCATAGCACACGTTACGCCTGTACATACCCCTAGCCATCTCGCACCAGATTCGTGATGTAAAAAAAGGCGCAGGTTGTAAAAAAGGAACATATTAAAAAGCATGAAGCTCCAAAAAACAAGCAGGAGGGAATTTACGGATAACCGAGTCCCTGGGGGACGAAAGCGTTGTACTACCTCCTTGTTTGCATGGGGGTGGATTGTTGTGCAATGCTTTTCACGCGGTTTGCCGCAATGTGTGACGTGTCTGGAGTTGGACAAAGGTGTGCATTGGTAACACGGACGTACAGTTTTTGGCAACTGCAGTGTGCAAAACGCTGGCAATTATTCTCATTGTACTTTTTTACAGTGGGCAAACTTTCTGTCGGTCATTGTGAGAATAAAAATGCCGGGAAATAGTTGATGAAAAATAAACGATCATCTATGCAATGTATTGCATTTTCAGAATGATTAATGCATTTTCTGGGAATTTCTGGGGGGAGATGGAACTTTGAATAAATTGAAGTGTGAAGACACTGATAGTTTTTGGTAACTGCAGAATTCAGAACTTTTACGATTAAGGTAAATTCAGTGTTATATGTATTAGAATAATCTATCCCCATGAATTATCTCAAATAAAAAAATCAACGGTATTCTAAAAAGAAAATCATTCTGAATCCCATTTACAGAATTGTCTGACCAAAAAATACTGAATTTGCTCAGATGCAGTGGTGTCCCCTCTATTCTCATTGTACTTTTCCAGTTGACAAACTTTTTATCAGTGACTATAATCTAAAAAAAGATAGTGCACGAATAGTTGCTGAAAAATAAATCACCACGAAAGCACGGCATTACACTTTCAGAATGATTGATGAATTTCCTTTAAATTCTCATGCGAAATGAAACTTCAAATGAAGTATGAAAGATAGCCTGCAGCTATTAGGATAAAGACTGCTACTAGGGGTAAGAGAGTAACGTTAAATTGTGATAAATGAACATGCCGCAGGCCACGTTCTGGGTCTAGATTAACCGAAGAGTCATCTCTCGATTGAGTCTGAAACTTGAAAGGGGAGAGCCATTTTCAAAGAAGGAACTTTACGTCTGAGCGACAAATGCACATAGGGCTTGAGTTTCACCAGTCGAAATGTTGAAAATAGAATGAACTATCTCGGTGTATCAGCCTTGTGGTGAGAGTTTGGTTGGGCCAGCAGTGTCCAGAAGACTCTCTGATCCCGTGATGCATGGCTGACTCTTGTAACTCCATGCATAAGACATTTGTGGCAAGGAACAGAGTAAAAAAAATAGCTCGTGAATCATTCACTCGTTGAAACTCTGTCCTCGTTTTCTTTTCCTCCTGAAGAATCCAATAATTCATAGGGTTTTCGGGAGGGAAGGGAGGAGAAAATAATTCAGTTCGGATGATAATTTTTTGTTGAACAAAGTTCACACAGTGCAGATACACTGAATCAGTTCAGGGTAGGGGGTTATGGTGGAAATGGACTAATGAATATTCTGCAGTGTGGACGCGTTCGTAATTTGCATTCGTCGTGTATAATCCGAACAATTTGGAGATCGGCGGAAGGTTAAGGGGAGAACTGTGACGGGTGGAGGATGGCCAACAGTCCCAGCAGTTAGTCTCCAGTGTCTCAGAGTGTCGGCCACCTGATCGTCCTGTCACGGTTCACGGACCATTTGTGCCATGCTAGGGCTGTAGATAAGGGAAAAGCGAGGGGGGTGAATACAGCTCTCGTGACATCACTGTCACTTGTAAGCTGAGCTTCTGGTAACCTTACAGGTTACCTGCGGCTTTATGCATTAATACATGCATCAAATCCTCTGTGCGCGTGTTAAAATGCAAATATCTGTAAATAAATCAAACGCCTGAATTCATCCAGAAATTTCAAAATTTCAAAACAACTGGAGATGTGACTAATTTAATAGTGAATTTTCGGGGAGTGAATACTCTGAAAACTATCTGCAATTCAAAAAGTCCTATTAAAATTCCGGATTTATTCAAATCCGATGTAATATTATCTCCGGGAAATCTGAATACAAAGCTGTACGAGAATTAAAATACGTAATTACTGGTAAGAACTTTATAAAAACATAAATTCATCTCGTAAAAGTTGAAGTTATTATTCCTGCCAGTGGATGATCAAACCGATACAATTCATTGCAGGTTATTTCCATAGAGCCCTGCACTTTAATACAGTTAGAGACTATCTGGCGTTGAGTAATGCTTCCATTAAGAAAAATCCAATTAAACAGAAATGAAAAACCAATTCAGCGGATGGAGATTGTACGCTCTATAAAATAATGTATACACATTGAATCACTACTTGTGTTTGAATAACCGGAGAAACCTCAAAAAGCACTAATTGAACTTCATTCGTTTTTTTTTGCCATCGAAAGGAGAAAATAAAAAAAAATTGTTGCAATAGAAATATGCAGACTCGCCGGGAGGGGGGTGGGGTGGCACAGTGCATTCCAATGGTATAACGTATGTACGAAACAGTTGGGACATTTACATATATATTATTGCCCACGGTAGAGGGTGGCTCTCGTCGACAACACCCGGTTTACCAAATCCTATACCTATGTAGAGAAAACGTTATTCTCTCTTCCTTTGACCTCAAAACAACCCGACCACTTCTCCCGTCGCCCCCAACCCTCCCACAACCCCTATGCCATTTTACCACGCTGACCGTTCGCACGAAATATATACAGAACAGATACATGTGTAGTCGATATTATCCTTCATCCTTCTAAAATATAAATGTAAATCCACACTACGTAGCCGAATGCACTTGCCAGAGTTATGGCAATTCGTTTTCTCGATATGAAAATATACCGCCGTGGGAATATTCTCGTTATATTTATTCTTTTGAGGAATGAAAAGCAGAAGAAGGAATGAGAAATATATTGTAAATATATATTAACATTGGGCATACGTTTACTTGACTTGGATTCCCCTTTTTGATGGTCCTTGTTTCTCTCTGATTCTGTGGTGAAAAATAAAGGTGATGATGCGATACGGTTGGCTTCGATATTCATGGGATTTCAATTTGTGTAATGAAAGTTGCCGGTAGTACAATGTTGAACAATAATGGAAATTTCAGACAGTAATTTCAGGAGTAATTTTCAGAAGAGTGACATAGAACTCAACTTAGAGGGACATGAATGTGAATTCGTGCTTATAAAAAGCCTAATGCACTCGTCAAAACTATAGCATTTTGGTTTCTCGATATGAAAATATGCCACCGTGGGAATATTCTCGTTATATTTATTCTTTTGAGGAATGAAAAGCAGAGGAAGGAATGAGAAGTATATTGTAAATATATATTGAGATTCGACATACGCTTACTTGACTTGGGTTTCTCTTTTTTTATAGCCCTTAGTTCTCTCTGTGATTTTGTGGTGAAAAATAAAGGTGATGATGCGATACGGTTGACTTCGATATTTATGGGATTTCAATTTGTGCAATGAAAGCTGCCGGTAGTACACCATTAGACAATAATGGAAATTTCAGACAGGAATTTTCAGAAGAGTAACATTGAACTCAATTTATAGAGAGGAAAAAATGATGAAATTCCAGTAGAACGATAATGTAATAAAAAATTCCAAGAAATGTAAGACTGAATCCGAAATGAACTTTAATTTTTTTTCAAATCAATTCGCCTTTAAAACACATTTTCGTCACTCGGCCCGATAAACGGCGCTTACTCGGGCTCTGTCGAGAGGGGGTAAAGAGAGTTTACCGCGGCA